CTCATGGGTTGTCCTGGGTCTGTGGGTCGGGTGACCCAGGCCTAGCACTCACCCACCTATCACCCACCCACTCGGGTGACCCAGGCCTAATGTTGACCCACCTGTCACCCACCCAGGTTGCCTGGCCTTGACCCGCCCTCATCCCACCCATGTCACCTTATCAAGACCCGCACCTGACCCAATGTCCTCGTGGGTGGGGTGGGTGCAGGTGGGTGCGGGTCTGGGTACCCGGTGCTCATCTCTGCCCGTCCTAGACATCCAGATGGGCTTCAAAGCCATCCGCCACTACTTCATCTCAAGGTCGTGTCCGACATTAAGCAATGCCCTGACTCACGTCGAGGACACCTTGACGACAACGGCGGAACTCTTTGACAAGGCCTCGCAGATTATCATCACGAACAAGGAGGCTAAGAACCTGCGTTCGTCTGCGCCAGGCCCGAGTAGAGATCAACATCGGCCGAAAGTGGCCGTGGTCGCGGCAGCAACGCCGTTTGACCAAACTAACAAGCCCGTGTCTGCCAATGAAGGGGACAGACTCGCAGCCGCTTGGGAAGGTGGCCGCCCCGGCAAAGGCCGAGGACGCGGCAAGGCGAAGACAAACACCGCATCTAGCCCCGGGCCCGGCGCAACAGCTCAAGCCCCATGGTCCCAATACGGCATCTCCGAGCAAGCATTCAAAGCGCGCACGAGATTTCACTATTGCCTATGGTGCAACAGCGATCTCCATGAGACAGTGGCCTGCCCGTCGAAAGGCAAGGGCAAATCGGGAAATTGAGCACCACCGGGAGTGATTTGACGACACTCTCAACGCCTTCGGAACCGGTCGCTTCGCAGGTGACGGCCCTTCGTTTCACTATTGCCTATGGTGCAACAACGATCTCCATGTTGAACATGCGAAAGTCGATAGTCCTCCTCTTCTTTATTCTTTTGAGGACTATGCTGCCCGGCTCGTTCCTACGCTGGGTACTCAAGCTCAAGGACAAGACGTGTGTGCGGCATCTTCTCCGTCCGGCAGCGGCGACTTGTCGTCTTCAAGTGGTTCTTCACGGGATTCGGCGCGCGAGTTCAACATAGAGGTATTGGACCCGCTCACGTCCGAGGACTTTGCATGGCTTCCTCTCCCGACCATGGGCCACCTGTCGGGACCGCAATGCGCAACACTATGCGCTCATCTCCACACGTACTTATCCTTCTATGCACCACCAACTTCGCCGACGGATGACGAAGTCGCGGTGGGGGACATCCTTGCGTATGTTACCAAGGTGGCCCGCAAGTTCGCACGCAGCGGTACGATGACAACAACGCACCGCTCATGTATGTCCGCATCCAGGTTGGGCAAGCGTCCTGCAGTGCTTTGCTGGATAGCGGCACGTCTCGCAATTTCATGAGCCAAGCCTTTATGCAAAGGGCTGGCCTTGGCGCACAAGTTCGGAGGAAGGCAAACCCGACGGCGATCAAGTTGGCAGATGGAAAGACGCAGCAACTCCTCGACCGTTACATCGAAGCCGTACCGGTGTATTTCGCTCCTCATGCATGCGAACCGGTGACATTCGACATTTTGGATACGGACTTCGACATCATTCTGGGAATGCCTTGGCTTGCAAGTGCGGATCACACTGTCAACTTCCACCAGCGGACTCTTAGCGTTCGCGACGCCTTCGGCGCCGAAGTGGCGTGTACTATTCCTCTTCCGCACCCTTCGATTCGGTGCCAAGTGGTGACGGCCAAATCATTCCGGGCGACTTACGCTTACGAGCAACCCGGGGAAATCGGCCTATGTTTCCTACGGACCGTCGTGGTAGCCGACTCTTCACCCACGGACTTGTCTTCGGACCCCCGGGTGGTGTGGTTGCTGGACGAGTTCGCTGACATCTTCGAGTCACCTACCAGTGTGGTGCCGGATCGGACGATCTCTCACGAGATCATTCTTGAGGCCGGTGCCGTTCCACCGAAAGGTTGCATCTATCGGATGAGCGAGGAGGAGCTTGACGTCCTCCGCGCACAACTCGACGACTTGTTGGCCAAGGGCTGGATCCGCCCTAGTAGCTCCCCATATGGAGCACCAGTTCTCTTCGTCCGGAATAAGAACAAGGATCTACGATTGTGTATCGACTACCGCAAGCTCAACACACAAACCGTCAAGAATGTGGGGCCTCTTCCTCACATTGACGATCTTCTTAAGCGATTGGGCGGCGCAAAGTATTTTTCTAAGTTGGATTTGAAGTCGGGATATCATCAAATCTCGATCCGGCCGAACGATCGCTACAAATCCGTGTTCAAGACGTGGTACAGGCATTTTGAGTGGGTGGTCATGCCTTTTGGCCTCACCAACGCCCCGACGACCTTTCAAGCGGCAATGACCAACGAGTTCCGTGCAATGTTGGACCGGTTCGTGTTGGTCTACTTAGACGATATTCTCGTCTATAGACGGACATTGGAGGATCATCTTGGGCATCTTCGACGATTGTTGGAGACGCTCCGCCGCGCCAAGTACAAGGCCAACCGCAACAAGTGTGAATTTGGCTAGCAAGAGCTGGAATACTTGGGCCAGTTTGTCACACCGGAGGGCATCAGTCCGCTATCGGACAAGATTCAAGCCATCCAAGAGTGGCAGGAGCCTCGGAACGTCACGGATGTCCGTTCGTTCCTTGGCCTCGGCGGCTACTATCAGCGTTTCATCAAAGGCTACTCGGAGATTGCGGCCCACTTGACCAAGCTTCAATGCGAGGATCGGCCGTTTGACTTCGGAGAGCAGGCGCGGGAATCATTTTTGGCTCTCAAAGCCGCGCTATTATCTGCGGACGTCTTGCGCATATACGACCTGTTTTTGCCTACGCGCGTCACTACGGATGCGTCCGGCTATGGCATTGGTGCTGTCATCGAGCAACATGATGGTGTGGACTGGCACCCGGTCGAGTATTTCAGCAAGAAAGTGCCCGTCGTGCATTCCATTGATGATGCACGCAAGAAGGAGTTCCTCGCCTTCGTCGACTCCCTCAAGCGGTGGCGACACTTCCTCCTTGGTCGAAGCCAATTCCGATGGGTACCGGACAACAATCCGTTGGTCTTCTATAAGACCCAAGACACCGTCAACAGCACCATCGCTCGATGGATGGCTTTCATCGACCAGTTCGACTTCTTTCCCGATCACATTCCCGAGAAGTCGAACCGTTTTGCGGATGCTCTTTCACGACGTCCGGATCATTGTACCGCGGTCTACTCAACCTTCGAGATCGACGACGACCTGCGGAACAGCTTCATCCGTGCCTACCAAGCCGACCCCGAGTTTCGCGACAAATACGTGAATTGCTCCTCTCCTAATCCGGCGCCTTCTCACTACTGGATCCAAGAGGGGTACTTGCTTGTCCACACACGGGGGAAGGACCTTCTTTGCGTACCGAGTGATCCTCACTTGGGTACACGGCTTCTTGGCGAGCTCCACGATGCTCCCGCCATCGGACACTTTGGAGTCAATCGCACGATTGGCCGACTTCGCAAGCGATTTTGGTGGACCGGCCTTCTCGACGATGTCACACGCTATTGCGAGTCATGTGAGGTATGTCGACGCTGCAAATCCCGCAACCATCGTCCGTACGGCGAGTTACGACCATTACCGGTCCCTTTGAGGCGAAGGGAAGCGATTGCCATGGACATTACCGGCCCGTTCCCCAAGCACAAGACCGGCGTGGATGGGATTCTCGCGTTGGACGACCAACTCACCAAGTTCGCCATGCTTTTGCCTTGCCGCTATCATGCCAAGGCACCGGAGTTGGCCGAGGTTCTCTACGCCGGTTGGATTCGAACCAAGGGTTACACCCAAGGAAATCGTCTGCGACCGCGACACTCGGTTCATGTCCGATTTTTGGTTGGCGCTCATCAAGCGATGGGGCTCATCTCTCAAGCCCAGTTCAGCTCGCCACCCCCAGACCGATGGCCAAACGGAGAGGGCGCACTAGACCGCACAGGTTCTCCTTCGCACTCTCATCCGTCCTGACCAGAAGGATTGGGTTGAGCGGCTGCCGGATGTGGAGTTGGCCTACAACTCCTCCATCCACCCGGCTATCAGGATGTCGCCCTTCGAGATCGAGCACGGCTCGCCGGTCACTTCGTCGTTGGACACCATCACTCCACGAACGGCCGAGAGAGACGACCATCTTCTTTTCTTGTGTCGGATGCAAGAGCTACTTCTTAAGGCACGCGACCAGATGGCCAAGACGCAACAATGCATGAGCCAACAGGCCAATCGCCAGCGTCTTCCTTTCCCATTCCGCACTGGCGATCTCGTTTGGGTCTCCGCCGCGGGATTCAGCCTTGAACAAGATATCTCTCGCAAGCTCCTCCTGAAATGGATGGGGCCTTGGCCGATCGTGGCACCCGTTGGGGATGCACCCAAGGGACCTTCCTTCACTATTCAGGTGCCCGCCCACTTGCCCGTCTACTCAGTCTTTCATTGCTCCAAGTTGGATTTTTACACGCCAGCGGAAGATGACGATTTTTCCGGGAGACGTTCGCAAGACCCACCCTCTATGGACGGTTTTCAGGAGGTCGGCGACATCATCTCCCAGCGACGCTACGACAACGGGCCAACCGAGTACTTGGTACATTTTGCATACTGCACACATCGAGCTGACCGTTGCTTGACCCGTGCGGAACTTCAAGCAATAGCTCCAGACGTTCTCGCACGCTACGAACACAAGATGCAAGGCAAGCCGGTCTCTTCGGCTCCAGGCCGCACCCGCGTCCAGGTTCCACCTTCAGATCGCCAGCTTCGCCCTCACCCCGGCTTGACTTCATAAGGAGGGGGGGATGTTACATGTTGCGCCTGCACACAAGGGCCATTTTCCAGACCCTGCGTCCTTCAGGCTAAAAGCCTGAATTTCAGGCCGAAAGCCTGAAATTTAGGGCCTACAGGCCCCGTGTCTGTTCAGCTCGAAAAGCTGGAAACAGGGGCTTACAGGCCCTGTGTCGTTTCAGACTAAAAACGGCATGAGCCTTTTTAGCCTGAAACTGAGGGCCATTTTCGGACCCTCATCAGACCGACCTGCCGCGAAACTAAGGCACCAAACCAGGGTTTTAGGAACAGGCTATTTTTGGCCTGTTCCCACGACAGCTGCAACGCCAGCCCCTGGCTCAGTTCGGCATTGGCAAGAGCAGCCTCCTGAACTGCCCGCCCTGCAACTGCAGGCAGTCGGAGGCAGTCAGGATGCAGGCCGAGATAGTACATAGGGACTTCCCATGCACTTCAAGGGTAGGCAGGAGGCAGTCAGTAGTCTTCAGGATTCGGCAGCAGCACTCTGGAGGAGCGCTGCAGGAGTAGTGGTAGCGTTAGCAGTAGTCTTCAGCGCTGGGCGCTAGAAGTGTTAGGTGTAGTCTTCAGCACTGGGCGCCATAGCTAGAGTAGTACTAGAGAGAGAGAGAGATTGGGCGGAGGCCAGGGATACTTACCTGCAGCGCCGTTGCCCCAGCTTCGTCTTCGAGGTACTTGCAGCACAACGCCCACTTCACAGGTTAGTACCTGGCWCGTGAGAGAGAGAGAGAGAGTTCTTCTTCTTCCTCTTCTCAGTCCATCATCTCCCTCTGACCGTCTCATTATCTGACTTCACTGCATCAGCAGACTACGAGCGAAAGAGAGAGAGAGAGCTTGGTGACATTGGATCCAGACTCGACTTTTGGGCTTCAGACATTTCGACGAGGGATTATTTGGGACTTGTGACAAAGACTTGGTGTTGACGACATTCCCATCTCTCCCCCCTCTTCTTCATCTGATCCCCTCCTCTTCGTCTGTGTATGTCTGGACCTGGCGCTTCCTTCCTGTGTATAGCGCCAGGCTCCTTCACACCTTGTGATGAGCATGATGTATGGTTGGTCTGCGTTGAAACATTGATTGGGCTAGTCATTAGTATTCTAGCATTCTGCTTCGCTATCTTGTACTACGTGAAAGGGGTCAGTCCCGGTTCAGGTCAGGATTTGTATCTAAGTCTTCCCTGCGCTATTCAACACCATTTTGTATGTATCGGAATGCACATTGCTTGTTGAGATTCTACTTGCACTGCATTGTCCATTCAGTCCTTTTCATCACATTGCAGATCCTCGGTTATTATGTACATCGCCCATCTGGGCATGTAACAGTAGCCTCATCTCCTTCCTCCTCTCCTCTTCCTTCTTTTCCTCTCTTTGTCTCACTCTCTCTCCCCAGCTCACTCTATCCCTTTCGAACTATCCTGACTGCCTGCCTTGGGCGCACTGTGCCCGCTTTATTTTGCTGCCGGCACCAAGTCTAGTTTCCGCGCGCCGACTTCTAGTCGTGTGTGTCTGGCTCTTAACATGTGTATCGGGGACCAACCTGTTATGAGCAACGTGTGCCAAAGTCCAAGATGCGGAGTTGAGATGCCCTGTTAAACCTGAGACCGCAGGCTGCTGTTGCAGTGTACGCCCTCCCTTAGTACCCCTTGGCTGAATGGGAACAGGGCACCCTCAACCAATGCGCCCTTAGATTCGCTGTTGATTTTGCCGTTGTGTGCCACACGCATGCCATTTCGGATCTGACGAGAGATGCTGTGTGCCCACGCGCACTTCATTGCCATTTCGAATCTGAAGATCTGAGAAAAGTTGCTGTTTTGATCTGACGAGAGTTGCTTCATTACCATTTCGGATCTGAGAAGAGTTATTGTGTGGCCACGCGCACTCCATTGCTATTTCGGATCTGTGGGAAGTTGCTCACGCGCATTTCATTACCACTCGAGTTCTTGAGGAACATTGCTGATCTTACCATCGCGCACGTGTGCGCGTTCCATATCATTCAGATCTGTGGAAGATGTTGGCCTTTAGTCTGTGCGCCAGTGCACATTCCATCAAGGACATTTGCTGATCTGAAACAGTGCGTCAACACGCATTCGATCAAGGACATTTGCTGATTTGAGACAGTGCGCCAGTTTGCATTCCATCAAGGACATTTGCTGATTTGAAAGTTCTGTCTGTGCGTCAGTGCGCATTCCATCAAGGACTTTTGCAGAATTGAGACTGTGTGCCAGTGCGCATTCCGCTGTGGACTATGCCGATTTTGAGCCTGTGCGTCCATGCGCACTCCGGCGTGGACTTTGCTGATTCTGAGATTGTGCACCAATGCGCATTCCACTGAACTTTGCTTTGATGATCTTGAGCCAGTGCTCCAGTGCGCACTCAAACTGTGAATATTGCTCTGATGATTACGAACCAGCGTGCCAATAGGCACTCCATCTGTGAACTTTGCTTTGATGATTTTGAGCCAGTGCGCCAGTGCGCACTCAAACTGCGAATATTGCTCTGATGATTACGAGCCAGAGTGCCAATAGGCACTCAATCTGTGAACTTTGCCTTGATGATCTTGAGCCAGTGCGCCAGTGCGCACTCAAACTGTGAATATTGCTCTGATGATTACGAGCCAGCGTGCCAGTAGGCACTCAATCTGTGAACTTTGCTTTGATGATCTTGAGCCAGTGAGCCAGTGCGCACCCAAAATGTGAATATTGCTCTGATGGTTATGAGCCAGCGTGCCAATTAGCACTCTATCTGTGGGATTTGCTCCGTCGATTCTGAACCAGTGTGTCAGTACACACTTCGTCAGTGGACTTAGCTCTGAGTATATTGCAGACTCTGACTGTGCGCCAGTGCGCACTTCACTGAGGGCTTCGTCGATTTTGGACTGTGCGCCAATACACGTTCCATTGAGGGCTTTTGTTGACTTGGGATTGTGCGCCAGTGCGCATCCCATTGAGGATTTTTGTGATTTGAGACTGTGCACTGCTGTGCATTCCATTGAGGATTCTTGCTGACTTGAGACTATGCGCCAGTGCGCATTTCACTGAAGACATTGCCGATTTTGAGCCAGTGCGCCCATGAGCACTCTGCTGATTGACATTTTGCCGATTTTGAGTCCACGAACACTCTGCTGTTGACATTGCCGACTTTGAGTGCGCGCCCGTGCGCGCCCATGCTGGGTACCGCTGATTCAGTACGTGCCCATGCTTGAAGCTACTGGTTTAGTGCGCGCCCAGGCTCGGGCAGGCTATTTGAGTGTGCGCCCAGGCTCTGGTTGACTGTTTGAGTGTGCGCCCAGGCTCGGGCAGGCTATTTGAG